CCAGCCAGGGCGGTTTTACTTTGTTCTTAATGGTGATTTAGGAGTCTACTTATATTCTTCCACAGGTTGGCTTTGTTGTCTTCTGCTCTGGGTTGAAATGCAAGTAGATGTGAAGCTGGGATTTCAGGAGCCACTAGTATAGGAAAAACGAAGTAAAGATAGCAAAGATAGAAGGCAGAAACTTCCAAATCAAAGTCACAGCTTGAGAAGGTCCAAGAGTAGGGTTATATGAAAAGGATACAATGTAAATGATGTGGAAACAAAGGGTTAAGGGAGAAAAAGAAATGAGACCATGCCAAATGACTTAATGAGAATTCTGATCTTAGGTGCAAGGGGAAGCCTTAAAATAGGGAGCAAATAATCAAAACCATAAGAAGAGGTAGGAACTTCGGAGTAAAATGTTCTTCTGGCAGTCACTTTACTCTCCTCCTCATATCCTCTCCTATTAATCATTGCCACTAATACTTCTCAAGCCTCTAAGAGTTATAGGAATTCATTTGCGCGTGACTCCTAGCATCTCTCTCCAGTTCCAGGGTAAGGTAAACATAACATTTCTAAGATTTACAAATTAGGCAAACAGTGAGGATTCACACTTCCATCCTAAACTTTTAGACAGTAGTTAACACAGCCTCTGGGAAGACCACTAAACATCTTTAGTTTCTTTGTAAACCTGGCATCTGACCTGTGAAAGAGCAGAATTCTCATTTCATTATCTTAATGAAATTGCCTATATTTCCCGTGAAGAAATCTGTAGTTGCTCTCCAGAAAGTAATGCACCCAATATTATGGTATTGAAATCCCCAGCCTAATCAGAAGCACTGATTTGAGTAAAACCTTAGAAAACAAAAAGGGAGGTAAAAAAATACATGGAAATGTCTATATACATTGCACGGGAGGCCCTGGCCAGGGCAATAAGACCATAAACAGAAATAAATAGTATAAAGATTAAAAAGGAAGATGTAATACTCTTTGCATTTGCAGGCAACGTGATGGTGAATATAGTAAATCCTACAGAATCTACAATTTTACAAGGTCACGGGGTACAAAGTCAATATACAAGAACCAGTTGTATGTCTATATACAAACAATAAACAGTTGTAAAATAGAATAAAAAATACCAGGTACAATATCATTAAAAAGTTACCTAGGAATAATTTACCAAGAGATGTTAAAAATCTCTAAACTGAAAATTATAAAACCATATTGAAAGAAATGAAAGGAAATCTAAATAAAGAGATGTTCAAGAATTGGAAGAATCAGATTTCCGGCCAAGATGGAGGCGTAGGCAGAAACACTTTGCCTTCTCGCACAACCAAAAGAAGGACAACAACAAATTTAAAAACAAAAAATAACCAGAACTGCCAGGAAATCGAACTGAATGGAAGTCTGACAACCAAGGAGTTAAAGAAGAAACATTCATCCAGACTGGTAGGAGGGGCGGAGACGGGCAGCTGGGGTGGAGAGGGCGTGCAGTAAGGCAGTGGCAGGCAGACCAGGAGGTCCCACATTCGCGTGCGGATAAACCAGGAGGAACAGCTGGGGAGTGAGACAGACCAGCAATCCAGGGCTCCAGTGCAGGAAAAGAAAGCCTGAAAACCTCTGGCTGTAAAAACCTGTGGGGGTTGTAGCAGTGGGAAAAACTCCCATCCTCATAGGAGAGTTCGTTGGAGAGACCCATAGGGTCCTAGAATGTACACAAACCCACCCACCTCAGAATCAGCATGAGAAGGGCTCAATTTGCTTGTGGGAAGCAGGGGAAGTGACTGAAAGCCAGCAGAGAGCCCAGCAAGTGGCCCTGTTCCCTCTCTGACCCCGCCTCCACATAAAGTGCCACAATGCAGCAACCTGGGTTGCCCCGCCCTGGCGAATACCTAAGGCTATTCATGATGTTAATAGGGTAGGGTAAACATAACAGGCATGCTGAGACAAAGAAATATGGCCCAAATGAAAGAACAGATCAAAGCTCCAAAAACAGAACTTAGAGATCAACAGAGAGCCAACCTATCAGATGCACAGTTCAAAACACTGGTAATCAGGATACTCACAGAAATCGTGGGGTATTGTCGCAAAATAGAGTAAAAAATGAAGGCGATGCAAATTGAAATAAAGAAAAATATACAGGGAGTCAACAGTAAAGGGAAAGAAACCGGGACCCAAATCAATGATTGGGAGCAGAAGGAAGAGATAAACATTCAGCCAGAATAGAATGAAGAAACAAGAATTCAAAAAAAAGAAGAGAGGCTTAGGAACTTCTGGGACAACTTTAAACATTCCAACATCTGAATCATAGGGGTACCAGAAGGAAAAGAGGAAAAGCAAGAAATTGAAAAGTTATTTGAAAGAAGAATGAAGGAGAACTTTCCCAGTCTGGCAAAGGAAACAGACTTCCAGGAGCTTCAGGAAGCTTAGAGAGTCCCAAAGAAGTTGGATCCAATGAAGTACACACCAAGGTACATCATGTGTAAGTTACCCAAGATTAAAGATAAGGAGAGAATCTTAAAAGCAGCAAGAGAAAAGAAGACAGTTACTTACAAAGGAGTTCCCAGAAGACTATCAGCTGATTTCTCAAAAGAAACCTTTCAGGCAAGAAGGGGCTGGAAAGAAGTATTCGAAGTCACAAAAGCCAAGGACCTACATCCAAGATTACTCTATCCAGCAAAGCTATCACTTAGAATGGAAGGGAAAATAAAGTGCTTCCTAGATAAGGTAAAGTTAAAGTAGTTCACAGTCACCAAGCCCTTACAAGAAATGTTAAAGGGACTTATCTAAGAAAAAGAAGATAATCAAAAACTATGAACAGTAAAATGACAAAAAACTCACAACTATCAACAACTGAACATAAGAAATGAAAACAAAAATAAAAACAAAAACAAAAGCAAACTAAGCAAACAACTAAAACAGGAACAGAATCATAGAAAAGGAGATCAGAGGGGTGGGGGAGGAGAGAAGAATGGGGAAAAGGGTATAGGGAATAAGAATAAGTAGTAGGTAGAAAACAAACAGGGGGAGGTTAAGAATAGTATAGGAAATGGCCTTAGCTGGTGTGGCTCAGTGGATTGAGTGTTGGCCTGCGAACCAGAGGGTTGCTAGTTTGATTTCCAGTGTAGGGCACATGCATTGGTTGCAGGCCATGTCCCCAGAAAGGGGCACACAAGATGGAACCACACATTGATGTTTCTCTCCCTCTTTGAACTTATATGTATGACCCCTGGACATGAACTAAGGTGGGGTGGGAATGTTGGTGGGAGGGGGCGGTGCAGGGTGGAGGGGAATAAAGGGGAGAAAAAAAATGGGACAACTGCAATAGCATAATCAATAAAATATGCTATATATATATGTATGTATAAAAGAATTGGAAGAATCAATATTAAGGTATCAATTCTCCCCAAACTGATCTATACATTCAATGCAATTCCAATAAAAATTTCCCCCAAAATTTTTTTGCAGAAACTGACAAACTAATTCTAAAATTTATATGGAAAACTTCCGGCCAAGATGGAGGTGTAGGTAGATATGTTTTGCTTCCTCGCACAACCAAAAGGACAACAAATTTAAAAACAAAAAACAACCAGAACTGCCAGAAACTCAAACTGTATGGAAGTCCCACAGCCAAGGAATTGAAGAAACATTCACCCAGACCCGTAGGAGGGGTGGTGACCAAGAGGACACAGGGCAAAGAGGATGGGGCAAGGTGGTGGCTGGTGGACCGGCGGATCCCACATTCGTGTGCAGATACACTAGGAAGAAGCAACTCATGTATTGCTGATGGAAGTGTAAAATAGTATTGTACAACCAGTTGGAAAACAATTGGCAGTTTCTAATAAAGTAAACCCTACAACCTAGAATGCTTTCACAAATAGGGCAATGTTTGTATAGCTTTATTCTAAATATCCAAAATTAGAAACAATCCAAGTGACCATCAACAGGAAAATGGGTAAAGAGTGTTATATTTCTTCAATGGAATACTATTCAGCAATAAAAAAGAACAAACTAGTTATACCTGCAAAATGAATGAATCTGAAAAATATTATGTTGAACAAAAGAAACCAGAATAAAATTGTATGATTCCATTTATATCTAGTTCATAAACAAACATAATTAATATATGGTGACAGAAATCAGAACAACAGCTGACTCTAGAGGTGTGGGACTGACTGAAAAGAAACACAAAGGAAATTTCAGAGGTGACAGAAATGACCCAGATTTGGGTAATGGTAAACTGGATGTATTTATTTGTCTAAACTCATTGAACTGTATACTAGTTAATATCTGTGTATATTTTACTATGTGTAAATTATTGCCCAATCAAGGGGAAGGAAGGCCATGTATATTTCTGCATTAATTTTTTGTTCTTTAGTGCATAGGTAGGTTGAAAATATTAATACATCTGTTTGCAGTCACCAGAAATAGCAGAAGAAAGTCTGCCCCGCTATTCAAACAAGATGGCACCATTATCACACAGACTGAATTTTTTTCACAAAGATCAATTTTAGAACTAAATTTATGATGGATCTTTCTCAATTTATGGGCCACCGGCCACTGCAGACACTGCATTCTCATATCCATATGTCCTTGTTAGTTTTTTAATCACAAGAGACTAAAAGTTTAAATATTATTATGTGAGGGGACCTAGAATTTTTAAAGTTCCTCTATAATTCTGTCCAGTTAATCGGTCATCTGCAGAGTTATTATATCATTATATAATAATTTTACTTATCCATGAACTTCATATAAATGGAATCTTGTAAATTTGAAGTATTTTTTTAGAAAGATGTACTATTATTTGAAAATACTGGATACCAGTGACTGTGAATGCCTAAATGCCTAAATCTTCACTAGCAATTACATTAAACTAAGACCAGTTGAAGAGTACATGGGCAACAAAGTATGTGATGCCAGAATACATTTTTTAAAAAGTATTGTAAACTATAATGCACTGGAGAAACATACGATGATATTTATCTTCAATAAACAATAAAAATCAAGAAATAGTTTTTTACCTTAAGTTTTGGATATATGTGGCGCAGGGAATCTGCAGTTCCCTTGTCAGCTTCATCAGGAATACACACAATATCTAGCTTCATTTTCACCTTGAATTCTGCAGATAGAGCTTTTTGGACATCCCTGGTTGTAATAACAATGACTTCTATAGCACAAAAGAAAAAAGAAAAACACAAAAACTCTCATTCACTTAGATTATAATTTGTCTATTTCAATTAGATTTGGTACTTCTAACAGTTAATATTATTGAGCCTTTTCAGGTATTTTACACACATTGTCTCAATTCTTACAACAATCTCATTATTTACAACTGAGGAAACTTGGACTATAAGTTGTGTGGCTTTGTTCAGGGTCACAAAACTAGTAAACAATAGGTTCTAGATAAAACTCAGGTCTGTCTGATTAGAGCCCACACCCTAATATATGACATGATATTTCTTGGAGTAAAGAATTGGAGTGAAGAGCATTCATCAAAATGTATCACGTTTTAACTCTTCATTCACTACAAAGAGCTGTCACCACTTCCCACCAGGTAGCCATTAGTTCCTCACTGAGGATCACAATGAACCTTACTAAGAAGCAATTTCCACATATCAGATGTCTTTACCCATGTAGCTATTTGTCATGGAGCTATCTGTTTACCCTTTGGTAGGGTAATGTAACCCGCTATAACATAACAAGTGTTGCTGATGTCCAAGGACTGAATTTTATCACCTCAAAAGTGGAATAATTTCCACTTGTCCCATGATAGTGCTCCAGGGGATAATTATCTCTCCCTTTCACTGTAATCATTCTTTTCTTTTCTATTTTCTTCCCTTCTCTTCTTTTTTCCTCTTTCTTGTTCAAATCATCCTTCTTTGATTTTCTCTTCTTACCTCCTCTCCTCATTCTGCCTTCTCTTAGTCACTTACTCACTCATTCATCTAATAAATACAAATATATTTAATATGTAAAGGACAAATAGGCACTGAGAATTCAGAAATGAATTCAACATGGTTTTTATTTTAAAGAAAGTTAACTATAATTTTAAAGAAAGTTCCTATTTGAAGAAATTAAACATGGAAATGATTAAGGAAGGTTTCATGGAAGAGATGGCATCTGAGGTAATCCATGATGAATTTAAGTACAACAAAAATTTCTTTAGTATATACTATATGCAAACTGCTGATATAATAAAAATGAGTGAGACACAGTATCTGCTCTCAAAGAGATCAGTCTGCTATGCCACTAACTACAGCATAAAACAGACCTTGAGAGGTAGTAAGACAGAAAAACAAAGTGTGATGGGCATAGAAGACAGGGCAATCATGCTGTTTGAGATTTCAAAGAGGTGACATTTACATAGGTTAGAGAGACCATTTAGGTAGAGTAGACAGAGTGAAGGGAGTAACTTAACTGCAAATATGGCATAGTCAGTCTAACAACTGGACCAAGACACTTCAGTATGGAGAGAGACAAAAGCTAAGGGCTATGTTAATTTCTCCAAGATCATGAAAAATATAAAAAGAGCAAACACAGGCTTGATTGCTAAACTCCAGAGTCCTATGTGAAGAAGGCATGCTCCAGCCCTGGCTGGTGTGGCTCAGTGGGTTGGGCATCGCACTACGAACTGAAAGCACACAGGTTTGATTCCCAGTCAGGGTACATGCCTGGGTTGTGGGCCAGGTCTCCACTTGATGGCATGTGAAAAGCAACCGATCAATGTATTTCTCACATATTGATGTTTCTCTCCCTCTTTTCCCCTCCCTTCTCCTCTCTCTAAAAATAAATGAAATCTTTAAAAGAAAGAAAAAAAGGAGGCATGCTCCAATTTCTGAGTGAGCCTCAGTGAGAGGAATTTTCTATGTAGTGGGTATTAAATATACCACAAAACACCATCCCCAAGCATAACTAAAGATATATATAGCAAAAGTAAAAGGAAAAAAAGTTACAGATGACAAATCCTCAGGGGTAATTAAAGGAAATTAGGAGTTTTTAAAGTATATTAAGGTGTATCCTTCACCTATGAGATTGAGCTCTAAAAAGAAAATCTCTTCTAAAACATAATCTCTTACCATTAATGTCATGTAGACTACTGCATAGAAATGTTATGGGTCTGTCCCAGGAAGGCAATTCTCACAGTGGAATGATCACTGGACCCCAAGACTGGGCCCCACGATCTAGCACCACCTCCATGCGGTCCTCTGATTTGGTACGTCTTCCTATAGGGTAACTCAAACTCATTGTGGCCAAAGCTGAACTCATTCTCTTCATTCAAACCTGTTCCTTGTCTCTTATTCCTTTTCCTAGTAAATAGCATCACCTAGTTACCCAAGCAAAACGTAGCGGGAAAGCTTCTTCCCTCCCTGTTTTTCTATTTCCCCTCCTCTTAATTATCCACTTCCTCAAACATTCCCTCTTCTCCATCCTTAGTACTACTTTTTTAGTTCAGGCCCTCTCCACTGCTGGTGTGGACTTTTGTATCAATCTCCTAGCTCATTTCCCTTCTTATAGTCTTGACTCCCTCAAATCCATTCCTCATGTAACTTCCAAAGCTATTTTTTTAAAAACATAAATCTAAGTTATGAAATTTATTGTCAAATGTTGTTCATAATATTCCCTTATCTTTTTAAGGTCTGTAGAATCTATAGTTATGTCCCTTCTCTCATTCCTGTTATTAGTAATGTCTTCTCTTTTTTTTGTAGATCAATCTAACTAAAGATTTAATAACTTTATTGATTTTTCTGTAATGCTTTTGCCTTCTATTTCATTTATTTCTACTCTTATCTTTTTTAAAATCTTCTTCCTAGTTATTTGGGTTTCATTTGCTCCTCTTCTAGTTTCTGCAAGCAGAACTTTGATGATAATTTGAGATACTTCTTCTTTTCTAATATAGTGCTTAACGCTATATAATTTCCTCTACACAGCTTTTTAACTATATCCCTCAAATTTTAATACAGTGTATTTCATTTTCAGTAAATTAAAAATATTTTCTAATTTCCCTTCTGATTTCTTCTTTAACATATGGTTTATGTAGAAGTATGTGATTTAATTTCCAAACACTTAGGGATTCTCTTGATATCTCTCTGCTATTGATGTCTAATTTAAATCTACTATGGTTTTGTATGAGAATATACTTTGTATGATTCTAATGCTTATAAATTTGAGATTTGTTTTATTTCCAAAAATATAGTCTATCTTGGTAAAAAGTACTTGAAAAGAATGTATCTTCTGCTTTCCTGGATGAAATGTTCTACAAATGTCAATTAGGTCAAATTGTAGAAACTCCTAAGGAATCTACAAAAAGCTATGAAAATTAATAAATGTATTAAGCAAAGTTGCAGGATAAAAGGTCAGTTTTTAAAAAACTGTATTTTTATGTACTAGCAACAAACTGGAAATTAGAATATAACACTTACCATTTATAAGAGCATCAAAAACATAAACTACTTAGAGATAAATTTAATAAAATACATGTCAATCCTACACATGGATAACTATAAAATCACTGAAGTTATAGAAGATAAACAAATAGAGATATATACTGTGTTCATGGATCAGAAGACTAAGTACTGTTATATGGATTCTCTTCCTCTCAGTCTATGGATTCAATTCAATGACAATCAAAATCCCAGCAACACTTTTTGTAGAAATTGATAAGCTAATTCTAAAATTTATATAAAGATGCAAAAGACATCTTTTTATTTAAACCTTTCACTGGTTCCCCCTGCTTTCAAAAAAAAAATCTGTATCCCTCAGCATGGAATACAAGGCCCTTTATAGCATGACCCCTGCCTATCCCTCTCACTACATCTACTCTTCCCCCTTATATTTTATATTATAACCACACAGAATAAATAGCAATTGCCAAAACATGCTGTGCTGCATCTCTTCATATCATTTCTTTTTCATGGGATGCCTTCTCCTCACTTGTCAATCTGATAATCTATTTTTCAAGACTTGACTCAAGTCAAAAGACTTGAGCTTTTTCAAGCTCACCTTCAAATCCAACATGCTCAAAAAAGTATATATTTCAGCTACTCTGTGAAGAGTTCCCTGAATCCCTCAAGGAGAAACAGCAAATTCCTTTGTATTTTCAAGCACCTATAATACACCTCTGTTGTAATATTTACCATATTACACAGTAATACTCTACTTTTTGATAACTTCCACAATGAATTAACTTCCTTTGTAATCTTTTTTTTAAAGATTTTATTTATTTATTTTTAGAGAGAGGAGAGGGGAAGGGAGGGAGAAATAGAGGGAGAGAAAAATTGGTGTGCAAGAGATACCTAAATCAGTTGCTTCTCACATGCCCCCAGTTGGGGACCTGGCCCGCAACCCAATCATGTACCCCAACCAGGAATCAAACCAATGACCTTTTGGTTCACAGGCCGGCACTCAATCCACTGAGCCATGCCAGCCAGGGCACTCTATTTATGTGTATCTCTCCATTAGACTTTAAGGTCTAGTGAAGATCAGGACCTGAGTTATCTTTTCTATTCTGTACCCCAATGCTTAATATAGTATTACTTGGCATGTAAAGATTCACAGTAAGTACTGTCTATCAGGTACTTGAACTCCTACTGTGTTCTTTCTGATATGCTTACAAGGTTCATTTTAGGTCATTGTGGAGACCAGCTCTAAAACAGTAACACTTAGAGCTATCTTCTCAACCTTTTTCACACAGCAATAGATTACGCCTATGCTCCTAATTTAAAGAGACCAGTGTCCAGCCAATACTGGGCCCTAGTCTTTTCTCATTCATCCTCTCTCACCCTCATAAAACTGACAAATCATTGGGGTCAAATGCCCTGAAAGTTTTATGAGTACATTTCATTGCCATAGCTCACCTTCAAATCCAACACGCTCAAGCAGGTTCAATGGGTACCAAATTAAAGGTTTGTTCCCAACTGGAAGCAGAGGCTTGGGAATGCTTGAAGTCAGATCTGTCATCCGAGATCCCCCTCCAACTGCCATAACTACTGCTTGAAATTCCATGTTTACAAACTGTAATCACAGAGAAAAATAGTTAACAGGAAAAAAAAGTAACAAAAATCAGAGCATACACAGTACTAACGCAATTTCTGTTTAGGTTATCGGCACCCACCAGGTCAAAAGCATCACTTTAAACTCCAATGACCAGATAAGAAAGGCTCCTTAGCTGCAGTATAAACATCACCTTTATCATACTCTCTTACTCACCAATACGGGGGTGGGGGGTGGAAAGTAGGTTTATAGTTGTTTGTATGGAAAGAAATACAATAATTTATAAATAATAATACAAGAATAAACTGTGTGTTTTATGTACTCACAACTATAAACCTATTTTTCTTTCCTTTTTTTTTTTTTTACCCTGTATAATTGTACACTCTCAGCTCCAGTCTGGGGAGATGAGCTAGAGGAAGGATATGTATTTTAAAAATCTGGCCCTTGCCCTTGAGTTGCCTGTAATTTAAGTGAAGACAAATTCAGTAAATTACAATATTCTATCATTAGTGCTACTGCAGAGATATATCCAAGATGCAGTAGGCAAATAGTGAAGGTAACACCTAAGTCCTCTTAGAAAAGACAGGGAATGTTTTATAGGAAGGTAATGCTTGAGTTGACTCTTGAAGAAGTAATAGTTTACCAAGTGGGCTTCTGATTCAATTCTTATTCCTTGAAAATGTTTAAAATTTCTGGTTAAAATTAACAGCACACTACAAACATATTAGGTCTCTGAAAAGTATGAAATGACTTAAGATTCCTCCAATAATTCAGCCAAGTACCTCCATCTTCTCATTACCCCAGCTATAGATACTATACACACATGTAGGCTTGTATCTGAATTTAAATTTGAGGAGCCCAATTGCAGAAACAAACCAAATTAATTCCTTTTCGCAAATTTAAGGAACCTATTTGACCTTCAAAAGAATCTGTTTACATGAGCTACCACAGAAGAGAAGTACAGTAAAAGGTTCTTTATTGATTAAAAATAAAAGTACTCTTTGACGTACAACAAATGATGTAACCTTTTTAATACAAGTGTGAAATGCAATGTTCAGAAAAAGAATTTATTTAACATCAAACTGGCAAATAATATTGCACCTTTACCATAATTACGACCTGTCGTGGGCCCCTCACATCAGTATCTTAACGGCAGCACTTATATTCAGTATACCCAAAGAACTAAGAGAGGGCTATTGAATAACATCCACAATTAAAGATAAAGTAATCCAAAGGTTGCCTCTCACACGCTCCCCAACTGGGGACCCAACCTGCAACCCAGGCATGTATGCTGCCCAGGAATCAAACTCCTGATCCTCGGATTTAGGGAGTTACCCTACCAACTGAGCCATAACAGCCAGGGCAAAGATATGGTAATTTTGAATGTAGCAAGCGTGGCCCCAGATCGGAATTTAACTTCAGTCTGGCACCATAAAACTTCCATCACACCTGACGTTACTAAGAAAAGAGCACTGGACCTTCCAGAGTCAAAAGACCTCAGTCTGAGTTCCGATTTTGCCACTTATGGGTGACATGACCAGGGGCTTGACATTTAAACTCTCAGCGTCCCCATTTCATAGAAAACAGCCTGGTACTTAAGTTCACAGACCCTTAAGCCAGACTGGCTACGTTTGACTTCTAGCTCTATGGTGTATTAGCTGTGTGAATTAGGGCAAGTTACATAACTTTTCCATGCCTGAGTTTTCTTCATTTTCTAAGTGAGGATAATTATAGTTTCTACTTCACAGAGTTGTTGTGAACAGTAAATGAGTTAAGCTATGTAAATCACACAAAATAATGTCAACCCCACAGCAAGCACTATAAAAGTGTCTGATATTACTAGACAGAGGCTAGATCATCGAAAGCCTCCTGCGCCAACTGAACCATGCTGTTGTGTAATTCTCGTCTCTGTATTACCATTCTTGCTTCCTAGGTACCTTTCTCCTGTGCCTAGTAAACACGTACAAAACTTTTAAGACTCGGTTCTTCGAATCATCATGCCTAAAAAGCCATTCCTAATCCTTCCCACCTCCTGGTAGAAGCGACTCCGTTTCCCCTAGGTGCTTGCACTCTACCATGTAGAGATCATCTCTGCCTTTACAGTCTTTAATGCCCATGTATTTAAAAGTCCATTTCTCTGCGTTCCTTGAAGGCAGGGACTGTATTTGTCATTACTGTATTTCCAGTACCTAACACAATTTCTACCAAATGCCAGACGCTCGGTGTTTGAGGAATGAGCGCTTTTGAACTTCACAACAATCCCCTGCAAGAGTCAAGCTCGAACATGTGCAGAAGGGACATGAGAACCCAAGCCAGGAGAATGTGAGTTTCCTGCTCTCGATGAGGCTCTGGGAGATAACCGCGAGCATAACTAGCCATGATACCAAGCTGTCAAATGCCTCAATGTCACTGCCACGACTCCGGGATGGGAATCGAGGCGACGAGTTTCTCGTTAGCCTCTCCTGTTTAAAAGAGGGAGGTCACGGCATCTCAGGCATGCCTTAATCATAGCACTCACTGCCTTCTTCCTTTGTAAATTGATAAGATAAAAACAATGTATTCAATATTATAATTGACCTCTCGTGCGGACCTTATTTATTCTATTTTATATTTCATTGCCTTGCACCTAAACAACTAAAAATAGTCAGAATAAAGAGTTCAGTCACTGAGCTAAGGGCATCTGGTCCTCACTCGCTGTAACTTCGAGCAGATCCTCCCCTTTCTGAAACTCAGTTTCTCCATCTGTTGCACAAGGTGGCTGGCTCGGATTCTCCCCAAGTTCTTCTCTAGTTTGAACACTTGACTCCCTGGCCGGGTCGAGCAGGGACTCGAGCTGGCGACTCTGGGACTCTGGATCCTCCTGCACCCCCGCAGGCCCTCCTCGGCCAGGGTCGAGAAGCCGCCTCTCTCTGATGAAGCTGGGCCATACGGCCACCACAGAGCTGCCCACCCCCGTCAGCCAGCTAGAAGACAGCCTGGTAGCTCAGAAGGCAAAGCTTTACCTCGGCTCCAGCCGCGCCGCTGCCGCTCCCGCTCCCAGCGCTCCCCACGCCGCCTCCGACTGACAGCCCAAAGGCGCAGGCGCGCGATGGCCGAGCCGATCGATAGGACGCCAGGGCAGGCTCACGGAAAAGGGACGAGCGCCGAGCGGTAGATTGAGGGCCAGCCGCGCGCGCACCTCCAGGAGGAAAGAAGGCGGGGCCGTCCTTGCTTTTCATTCATAAATTACCAACACCCTTGCAGTGTCCCTTTCAGGATAGGGCTCCTGGAAATCAGATTGGAAAAAGTCACAGTCTTCCTTCAGGGAGTTCTCCTTCTAGGACCTGGTTTCGACCGCCAGTCCGTGAAATGAAAGCTCATTTAGGAACCGCAGTTTTGAGCTAGCCTGTGGAGAAATTGAAACGGAGTGAAAGCCCTCCACTAACCTGGCTTGGGGGATGGGAAACCTTGACGCGCCAAAAGAAAGCCCTGCCTGAGGCACCAGGCTCCGGGAGACGGGAGTTCAAAGTGAATACTTAAACTAAGCGTGGCAGCCACTCCCGCTCTTGGCCTTGCAGGTTGAAAGGGTGCAGAAGAAACATGCCACGTCGTTTTGGAGTAAGGGCTGGAAAACACCGCCAAGGGCTGATGGTGCTGGGGATTGAGGGACCTGCCTAGCCAAGCACGGATTACTGGGCGAGTCGGGAATGCTGAACTGGGACCGCGGGAATGCGGAGCTACAGATTTATGTTTTGGGGTGTTGTTTTTTTTCCCCCCTTGAAAGAAGGTACCCTTGACTGGCATATGGTTTTGTTTTTGTTTTGTCCTGAGAGAGAGAGAGGGAGAGGGAGAGGGGAGAGAGGAGAGGGAATTTTAAATGGAGTGGGACTTACTGGCACAATTCCGCCATTATCTTAAATTTATAACTTTTAAAGATTTTATTTATTTATTTCTTAGAGGAGAAAGGAGGGAGAGAGGTAAACATCAATGTGTGGTTGCGTCTCACATGCCCCCTACTGGACACCTGGCCTGCAACCCAGTCCTGACTGGAAATCCAATTTGCGACCCTTTGGTTCAAAGGCTGGTGCTCAATCCACTGAGACACACCATCCAGTACTAAATCTGTATAACTTGTAAATAAAGAATTCCTTTCCTTTTTTACCAAACTCTGGCATTGGGATTCTTGGTGGCTGGCAATCGAGCCCACATATATGTTTCAGAATTGCATAGGCTGGCATTCTGTAACAAAATCACCAAATGTCTTCGCAGGCCAGGTCTTTCTATGTGCATGATATCCAGTGTGGCAACTCATGTTGGCTTTTTGAAAAAAAGCTGTTATTGTGGAAAACATCCACATTTAGCCATCAAAACCGTGGGAGTTGGGTGGAGGGAGAGTCAGAGAGGGTCTCAGTGAGTCAGTTACACTGAAAAGAACCATGGCTTGAAGAGAACTGGCAGGTGGAAGTCTTGGGTAAGAGCCTTCCAAGCAGACTAGGCAGCAAATACAAAGATGCTGAAGAGAAACAGCATGTTGTAAGAATACCAGAGAGGCCAGTGTGACTGGAGGGAAGTAAGCCTAAGGGAGAGTGAATAAATGGTACTAGAGATGATAGAGGCCATGGGGGAGAAGGTGGAGAGTTCAGATCTTGTGGGTCTTGTAGGCCATTGTGATAACCTTGAATTAAGAATAGGAGGGACATAATATGACAAGTTTTGGATCACTCTGCTGTATTAATAGACTCTGGAAGCAAGGAGACCACTTAAGAGGCTGCAACTGCATGAAAGCCCACAAACGCCTGAGTCTAGACAACTCCAACAATTGTGAGATCGTGAGATGTAGTAAAATAATTGTTTTAGGCAATAAGTTTTGGGGTGGTTTGTTAAATTGAAGTAGATTACAGGAACAACGGTCATTCTCTCTTTCCCACACATTCCTGCAATTTTCCAATCCTCTGGAAGCTTTCTCTTTTTATATGTCTCTTAAATGTTGAATTGCTTTAGCTCCCTGCCATTTAGGAGACAGAGTCATTCACAGTATTAACTGAGTGCCTAATACGTGCCAAGCAATATTTTAGATGCTTGATGCTGAAGATACAGCATTCAATAAGAAAGACAGGGCTTGTAACTTTCCCCAGACTTTTAGTCAGAAGAACAGAGCTCTGCCTTGGTCCTGTTAAAAAAAAAGACCTGAGGCCATATCCATACAGCCCCATCCCTGTACTGCCTCTCCTTCATTTTATGATGCTTATGATAAGTTATTGAATAACTATTCATTTTAACTCAACTATAACACTGTTGGTAGAAGCAAGCCATGGAGTGATTGATTTTGCCACAAGAGGCCTAAAATTTGAGTACTCCTTCCTTCCACAGTCAAGATTCTCTCTCTCCTTGGTATAAGCTCAAGCAAACAGAAGCCATCAGAATTAAAGCATAGTTTTGAGGTAATATCTAGTTACAAAATAAGAACAGCATTCCTCAATGTCACTAATGATCAGAGAAATGCAAATCAAAACCACAATGAGATACCACCTCACATGTATTGGAATGGCTATCATCAATAAATCAACAATCAGTCCTGACCAGTGTGGTTCAGTTGGTTGGGCATCACCCCACAAAGTGAAAGGTCGCTGGTTCAATTCCCAGTCAGGGCACATGCCTGGGTTGTGGGCCAGGTACCCAGTTGAGGGTGTGCAAAAGGCAATATCTCTCACACATCAATATTTCTCTTCCTCCTTCCCTTCCCCTCTTTCTGAAAATAAATAAATAAAATTTAAAATTAAATCAATAAACAACAAGTGTTGACAAAAATGTGGAGAAAAGGGAACTCATACACTGCTGGGTGAGAGCGCAGACTGATGCAGGCACTGCAGAAAGCAGTATGGAGTTAACTCAAAAAAGTAAAAATGGAACTGCCTTATGACCCAGTGATTCCACTTCTGGGAATATATCCAAAGAATCGCACAACACTAATTCAAAAGAATATATGCACCCCTGTGTGAACTGCAGTGTTATTTACAATGGCCAAGATTTGGAATCAACCCAAATGTCCAAAAAAGCTTTGGTACATTTACACAATGGAAAACTACTCAGCCGTTAAAAAAAAAAAAAAGGAAATCTTATCCTTTGCAACAGCATGAATGGACCTGGAAAGTATTATACTAAGTAAAATAAGCCAGTCAGAGAAAGACAAATACCATATAATTTCACTTATATGTATAATCCAATGAACAAAACAAACAAATTAGACTCATAGATAAAGAGAACACACTGACAGCTGTCAGATGGGAGGGAGGAGGGGGACTGGGTGAAAAAGATAAAGGGATTACGCAAAAACAAAACAAATAGCCCCTCATAGACAGACAACAGCATGGTGATTACTAGAGGACGAAGGGGTGGGAGGAGGTAGGAGAGGGTCAGGGAAAGATAAATGGTGATTGATGGAAGGAGATTTGACTAGGGGTGGTAAACACACAATACAAATACAGATGATGTGTTATAGAATTGCACCCCTGAAACCTATATAATTTTATTAACCAATGTTACTCCAATAAATTCAATTTAAAAAGTAGAATTGAATCAAAGTATAAAGTAAAAAAACAAAACAGTATTCAACCCCATATCTAGCATTCATTTTAAATGCTCATGTTTACTAACAAATGTTTTCAGAGAACGAGAGGAGTGTTTCCTCTAGTTGAGGAAAAGTAGTTGAGGGATTGCTTCATTTCAACTCTAAATTATTCCCTTACAGCAGTGGTTCTTGAACTTTTTGGTCTCTGGGCCCTTGACATTCTTAAAAATTATTGGGACCCACAAATAACTTTTGTTTATATAGATAATATTTATTGATAGTTGCCATATTAAAAATTCAAACAGAAATTATAAAAACATGAATTCATTTTAAAAAATAAAAATAATAAAACTGCTACATGGTAACATAAGTCACATTTTTATGAAAACATGCGACGTTTTCAAAATAAAACATTTACTGAGAAGAATGCCATGGTTTTGTCTTTATTTTAAAAAGCTTTTTTTTAACCTCAACTGATGACATTTTTTTCACTGCTTTTAGAGAGAGAAGAAGATAGAGAGGAAGGGAGAAAAACTGATGCAAGAGAGAAGCATCGATTGGTTGCCTCCTATATGCGCTTAGACAGGAAATCCTATGCACTAGGACTGGGGATCAAACCCGCAATGTATATACGTGCTATGACCAGGAATCAAACCCGAATCCTTTCGGTCACCAGACAATGCTCCAACCGACTGAGCCACATGGGCCAGGGTTGGTTCTGCTGTTACAGATCTCTTTGATGTCTGACTAAGTAGAAAACAGTTGGATTTTCCCATAAGTTATGATACATTGTTTTGGGTGAATTATATGATGAAAACCTGACCTCACACAGATAGGCAATGGAAAAGAGAGATATATTAATAGTTTTGTCAGACAGTTGTAGGTTTTCCTTGATACTACACCAAACTCAGTAAGTTGTAGTTTGTAAAGACTGGTTGAAATTTAGAATAATTATATCGATCAATATTTTGTACTGTTATAATACATACTCTCACTTTGAATGGATGTTTTACCCATGCATGATTTTGCAACTTGATGCACTGATCATTTGTAAAATATTGGTTCCCTGAGTTATGCAGATCTCCCCAATGTTGACTCATTCTGCAATATTTTAAAAATCACATTTGTTAATATCACCAATCTCATCAGAAAAGTCCTGAAATATTGGAAAGCTGGCAAGCTTATACCAACAGATACAAGTTTTCCAAACTTCTGATTTTATTCTGAAAGCTCAAATATTATCATTGGCAACAACTACTGCTGGTGGTTTTCCTTGAAGTGAGTGGCTTACTTCATTCTGATAATTTGTTGGCCATAGTTTGTCAATTGTTCTTTCAGGTAAATATAGTGTTCTATGAAAAAAGCCACAGTTCACAAATCAAATGATCATACAAGTACTTTTTCTGGAGACAGTCATCATACTCCTTTAGTATGCACATGAGTGTTAACATGTATACTTTCCATTTCATCACATAGACTATCAAGATACATACCCAAGGACCAAGATTTAATACAATTATTTGA